ATGAATTGTTTGATTCCGTGTCTCCGCACGTGTTCCGCATATTTCTGTGATTCCGAGTAATCAAGTGTTTCGCCAACTGATAGCAAACCCATTGCTATTATTTAAAAGTCTTTTTGTTAGATGTGTTTAACGCGAAAATTGTCAAAATCGTCAAAACTAAGAATTTTATTCGTATTTATAGAAAATGTTTGATAAATAATTCACATCATTACTTACATTTTCATGATTGCAACTTTTAATCTCATTTACTAATATCAGCTATACAGTACTGTACTGTATTAATAGTCGTTAATCAGTCCTATTAGGAATTCATGTACTAATTAAACGAGCCTGTCAATAATTTTTTAAATTATTAAATTATTAATTTTTTATATAGACATTTGTCAGTTTTATTAAAATAAATCACTTGAGTAATGTTATAACTTAGTTTAATTATCGTATATTTAAAATTCATTTAGTGGTATTTACCCATATAATACTCCAAAAATGTTGTCTAACCTCCCGTGTCATCCCTGTGCCCATACCATCAATTCAGTGCCTCTGCTGAGTTTACATTAAACATGTCTAATTGCACCATTAGTTTCATCAGTTTATGATTAGATATATTTGTGACCACAACATGGGCTCTAAGTATTTGAAGTTTACTAATAAATTATAACTATTTTCTTACATTTAGTTAAGAAAAATTGATAAATTAATTCTTGTGAATTACTTTGTTAATTAATTATATTAGAAATTATAATGTGTTAAGTTAAATTTGTTACTTAATTATGTATTAACTTATTACCCTGTTTATGCCCTTTGATATTTTGGATAATGAACTAATTATTACTTATAAATTGTATGACATATTAATCATATCATATATTACGGAAAAAAAAGATAAATATAAATTAAAAGATTGTCCTTGAAAATTTATAGATGATTTAATTGCTGAAATTTTTCTGATCATCCATTTCTTGGAAATTATTATTCTAGTTTTTAGTATTCATTTAAATAAGGTCAATATTTAAAATGTTATTGATCATTGATTAATAAAAATTATTTATTACGATAAATTATAGTCTATAATAATATTACTTTAGTCAAATTAAGTAGGTGTTATTTATATAAAAATATTAAAATGTTACAATAGATATAAAAATTAAATTATTATTATGGCGTTTATTATAACATGAATTATTGTCAATTTAATTTGTGAGGTTAACTGTTGCCACATAATGTATATAAATAGGATAATACTCTCCAATTTGTTTAAAGTAGATATTACAATCGTATTCACCCGATGTATTATAGTATATGTTTAATATATTTATTATTAGTTGTGGGAATGTGTCTTGATAATTATATTCAACAATGTCAATTCCATCGACCAATTCAAATATACCTAAATTATTGGGAATTTGCAATTGAATGAATATAATTATAGTATTTTAAATATTTTATCATCTCACCTTGGTTAGATTGTTGTACAAAGAATCGTTTTCCATCTTTGTATAAAACGATCCTCAATAAGGTGTCTATATTTTCATTGAAATCATACCCATAAACAAGTTTCACATTTTGTCCGTTTTGTGAGTTATTTTGAGTAATAGTAAACGGATCGATGCTGTGAATTAAATTTATATTATATTAATATTATATTTTAAATCAGTTTGATGCTAATATTAATATTGTATTACTACTACTGTTGTGTAATGTAATTCTAAAGTAGGTACATAAGATGACATAAATGATTAAATTTTATATTTTACTTACGATTATAATAATTGTTTAACACATTAAAATTTGTTTTATATGTTTTAATTAATAAATCACTAAATTTACTAATCAAAATTATAGCAAATAATAAACATTTGATAAATATAAATAAAAACACCATTTTAATATAATTACGGTTAAATATTTTGCACAAACTAATTGTATCTATAACTTGTATTTTGCACAAATATTTTATTATTGTATAATTATTATTTGTTCTTTATATTATATTTGGCATAATTTAATACAAATGTACTGTACTTGATGTACCTTATTATTATTAAGCAGCACTTAATAAACTATTGCTTATGAAACCATTGATTGAACCATGGTAATAGGTTATCTTTGGATAAACCAAATGTACCGAAAACTTTGTGATTTATACCAGTACTTATTATTAAATTTCAACATTATTTTTATTAAATTATATAAAATACTAATAATACAAATAAATGAATTATTGTCAAATGTCTTTAAATTTTGTTACATATTAAAATATTTTCATTATTTGAGTAAAATGCTAATAATAATAATTTTAAATAAGGTTTAAAATATTTATTTGTATCAAAATTGCCTAGAAATACATTTAAAGTAAATTTTCCAAAATACTAATATATTTTATAAATTCCTTAAAATTTTAGTTAATAATTTTATTTACAATTTTTGAGTGAACCATTCTGTAAAAATAATTAAATATCTTAATATGTAATTAATAACTCACTATTGCCTTTAATATAGTACATTATGAGTTTTATAATTTATTCAAAAAATATAATAAAGATTAATACATAAAAAAATAAAAATCTTTTACAAAAGAATTACGAAATAAAAAATAAACAAATTTGGAAGTAGTGTATGAATCAGTGAAAAATAATTTGCAAAACAAAAGTTATTAAAAGGAAATAAGAAGGGTATAAATAAGACGATGTGTTAGCCAGGTCCAGATGTGAGTGAGCCAGCACACTGAATTCCAAATGTGAATTAACTTGATGGTAGGTCACCTTGCACCTATACTCGCCAAACGTGTCTTTCTGAACATTTCTAATTTTTAATTCAATCAACTGCTGTCTCGACTCGTATTTATTGGCTATTTTGTTGATGCCTTTAATCTTGTGAAACTCAACTGTCAATAAAAAATAGTTTTAATCTTAAATATGAACATGGCTGTATTTGGATTCACGTTAACATACAGAATGTTTGGTTGACCTGGCGCCAGAATAAGTGTTCACCCTTATAAATGTTAATTTCTGACAATTCAAATGGTTTATCCGGGTTATCGTATGAGCAGGCTAAGTACACGTCCTTGCCTTTGGGTAATCTGTTTGGTCGGAACCCAATTCTTACGTGAACTGTAATTAAGTGATGTTTTGAAGGGTTAATTAAAATGTTTAAAAATATTATTGAATAGCATGTCATTTAAACCTTTGCTTAAATTAGTGTCGATTTCTTTATCTGATTTATCGGTATTTGTTTGCATTGTATTCATTGTTGGATTGCTTACTGTAGTCACCATTGGTTCGGCCGTTGTTTCTATTGGCTTAACTGTGCTCTGTATTGAACTATTATTTTGCTCATTTATCAAGGTAGTTTTGCTACTTTGATCATCAAATGGTGTGGATATTATGGTAGGTTCTGTTAGATTGACTGTATATTTATCAGTTATTATAGATTCTGTGCTATTGACTGTAGAGTGGGTTAATTGTTCAGTAGATTCTTGCGGTTTTAGTGTAGATTGAGATTCTATAGTTTGACTAAAGTCTACAGTGGGTTTGACAATGGTTTGTGGTTCTGTAACAATAGATTGTGTAAAATCTAAACTTGTAATATCGGATTTAATTGTAGATTCTGTCACAATTTCTATATATTCTGTGAGAATTTCAGTAGTTGTAGGTTCTCGTAGTCTATCTGTAGTGTTTGTAAAATAAACAGGAACAGTTACAGAATTTATAGGACTGTGAGTCTCAATAGGTGTGCCTGTATATTGCTGCGAATTGTATGTGATCTCTATACTACCTGGTAAGGTCTGTTTGTTAGATGTAGGATTATCTATATTATCGGTATTAGGTCTTAAATTAGATGTCATTCCCAAAGTGGTGACCGACTGTTGAGTAGTTCCACCCGAAAAGACAGTTGTCTTATATTTGTTGCCATTCTTGGAAGTCTTAATCGTCAGGTTTTCGGTGATAGTTATCGGCATCTTATTCTCCCTGTGTTTTGGGATACCTCTGTCTGTATAATCAACTCCACATACATATTGACCACCAGTTGTCTTATTAGGGTTACTTAACACAAATAACCCTGGACCAATTGGTTGTACTGACTCGATTCCAGCAATACTTTTGAATAACGGATCTATATTTATTTAATTATATTTATACTAATATTATGTAGGATTATATATTTAATTAATTAGATATAAGAGAGAGAGAGAGAGAGAGAGAGAGAGAGAGAGAGAGAGACGTCTTATTCCTATTCAATGATAGAAATCTATTAATTTAATGAAAAATTAAAATGACAAATAAAAACATGTTTTTGTATTCATGACACGTAATAAGGAAATTATTCAATTAAATCAACGACCTTGATCAATAAAAATATTTTAATATTTAGATTTGAACATATCAGGTACAAAATAATGATAATAAACTAGACATAAATGAATATTATACATACAGTTTGGGTCATTAGCAGCCAAAGTGTAAAAATCTTGAGTGTCTTTACTTATGGTGAGTCTCGTCAGTACCTCCCGATCCTCTTTCAAGCGTATGGTGCAGTTAAACAGTGTTTTCTTGAGGTCATTATCATAGACATGATGTCTGAATATCACTTCAATTGATTCACAAGACTTAGCAACAATTAAGGCGATTATTACAAGAAAACAAAAATTATTCTTCATTTTGATTTTGTATTAATATTAAAATCACTATAAAATATTAATTTGAAAATATTTAAAAAGTATTTGTTGTCAATACTTTCAATGCATATCATGTAATGTTATGCTAACTGAAAAATATTTGTGTCTCTCTTATCGTATTTATGTGTTTTAGCATAAAGTGGTGGGAAATGCGGGGAAAGGGATTAGAAGCGGAGGGAGAGGTATAATTTGAGATGTTTTACCCTTTGATACCATCGTATTTCGAAAGGTTTGTAAATAAAGTGTTGTTTAATATTTCTATTACTGTTACTATTAAAAATATAACACCGGCAGTTTGTCATATAATATTATATATCGTTGGATATAATTAATTTTTATTTGATTATAATAAATTGTTATCAATTAAATGTGCTAAATATACAATAATGTTAGCAAATAAAATATTAAAATTTGTTTTGATAAGATTAATATTGAAATAATTAGTTATTTTATATCATATTGCGCTATTATTTTGTTTATTATGTTTATTATACGAAATTAATATTATCAGGTATAATTATGTTTTGCATAAAATATACTGAAGTAGCTTTGATAAAGTTAATTAAATATTTGATTTTTATAGCACTACTACAAAATAACAATTTTAATAATAATATGATTACTTAAATGCAATTAAAATAGCAGCAAGTAACATAATCACGTAAGACATATTTATTGTAGGAGCACCGCTACCATGCAGAGTGGCATTGGCTGATATGGAGTAGTGGACAGTCGACTGCGTGTGGTTCTTGAAGGTCACGCTACAGGTATACCCTCCCGACGTGTATTTGTTGGGCGATTGAATGGTTACCTGAAGTTGTGGTGAATTATTTTCGTCATAAAAATTAATTATTTTATCGATTCCTTTAGTTTTGTTTAAATAATCTGAAAATATTGATATAATTCTGGTTAAAATGTTAGCAATTTTAGGGTTTTACATAGAATTAAATCTCTCTCTCTCTCTCTCTCTCTCTCTCTCCTGAATATTTGACTGAAACTTACAGTTCGTTGCATTGATTTGTCTGAGGAATAGTTGATTGTCTTTATAAAGTCTAATATCAATAAACGCATCACTAATTGGCACCAAATGGTAGCCACACCTTAGCTTTACATCCATTCCCTTCTTGATTTTATGAGGAGTTATAGCGAGGGTTACATTCTCTGTGACATTAAATTGTTTTATTATCAAAGTTCAAAGACTATTGTATACTAACCCGGGGTACTTCTCCGCTTCATGGGTCGCGCCTCATGTCTGTGTAAATACATCTTATGGACGTGTTGGTCATATTTACCCGGGTCACTTGACTGGCTCACAAATGTAACTGTATTCACATGAATACGTATATTGAAATCACGGGAACTGAAGGACCGGTTGTTGTTGTAGTAAACGGCGCACACGTAGTGACCGGCAGTTGTCTTGTTTATATTGTTGATTATGAAAATACCCGGAGACAAACTCACGATTTTATTTATACCGGGTATTTGCTTAAAGATAGGAACTAGTGTTGATACAATTAACATTTAGTATGGAAATTATGATTATTGCTAGCTAATATTTTTAATTATACAAGGTTAACTTACGGCTTTTAGTGCGATTGTCGTATCTGTAAAATACCTGTCCGTCCTTGCTTATATTTAAGCTGTAGAAATACTCATTGTATGGGTTTAATTTAGCCGTGCAATTGATCAAGGTATTAGAGCCATTCACATA